GGAAATGAATATGTAGGAGATTTTTCATGGTTAAAGGAAGTTGTGCTGCTGTTAATACTATATGTGCTAACGAGTGGTTGCTTAATTCTGCGTGTACCTTTCACATGTCTCCTTTGAAAAACGTGTTTTCAAACTATAGGTCTATTTCGCATGCCAGTGTTTCAATGGCAAATGAAAAACTTTGTAAAGTTGTTGGTATAGGTGATGTCTGTCTAAAGTTTGACTCTGGTTATGTGTTAACCTTAAGGGATGTTAGGCATGTTCCTGATTTGTGCAATAACTTGATTTCATGTGCTGCACTAGATGAAAGTGGATTAATAGGAAAATGGGGAAATGGCGTTATGAAAGTCTTAAAAGGTTCATTTGTTGCATTTAAGGCTGTTAGAAAAAATAATTTGTACGTTGCTTATGCTGAACCAAATTGCATGCCAAATGTGAATTCTGTTGTTAATGATAAAACTGAATTGTGGCATAGACGATTAGGTCACCTTAGTGATAAAGATCTTGAAATATTAAAGAAAAATGGTTTTCTTGAAAATGATAAGATAACTATTGTGCCTTTTTGTGACTCGTGCGTTTATGGTAAGCAACATAGGGTAAAATTTGATTTGTCCCATGCTCCTAAAGTACCTAAATGTAAGGATGTGCTTGAATATTTGCATGCTGATGTGTGGGGTCCTGCTCCTGTTCCTACTCAAGGTGTGATTCATTATTTTCTGTTGGTAATTGATGAATTTTCACGAAAAGTTTGGATTTTTCTATTAGAACAAAAATCAGATGTTTTTGAAATTTTTCAAGCATGGAAAAAGTTAATAGAAAATCAAACAGGTAAGTGCATTAAATTTTTGAGAACAGATAATGGTCTTGAGTTTTGCAACAATTTGCTTGATTCATTATGTGCTAAATCAGGTATAACTAGACATAAGACAGCTCCCTATACACCCCAGCAAAATGGGGTGGCGAAACGAATGAATCGAACTCTTATTGAAAGGGTGAGGAGCATGTTAAACTCCTCGGGCCTTCCAAAGAGTTTTTGGGGGGAAGCTGTTACTACGGCTGCATATTTGATTAATAGGTCTCCCTCTGTGCCACTTGCGGGTAAGTGTCCTAAAACTGTATGATCGGGTAAGAAACTTGATTTTTCCAATTTGAAAGTATTTGGGTGTACAACATATGCTTTATATAAAGGTGATAAACTTGAACCTAGAGCTGTGAAATGCGTTTTCTTAGGTTATCCTTTAAGAGTAAAAGGATATAGGCTATGGTTAAAAGATGAACCAGGTTTCAAAGTGTTAATTAGTAGAGACGTCACTTTTAATGAAAATGAGATGCCATGTCTGAATGTGCCAAATACTGAAATAGATTTGACTTTTAATGAGGTAGAGCCAAATAAATTGGAAATTTCTGAAAAGTTGCATGACAAATCTGATTCTCATGATAAGTTGCTTGAAAATGACCTATCAAATGCTGAAAATTCTGAATCAGAGAACATAGAAAACTACCAACTTACGAGAGATAGGACTAAGAGAACCACTAAGCAACCGTCTAGATTTGATGAATACGACTTGACTTCTTATGCTTTTAGTGTGTTCGAGACATTAGATGGAAATGAACCTAAGTCCTATGAAGAAGCTTTTAAATCTAAACATGCTGAACAATGGTTAAATGCAATGCATGATGAAATGAATTCCTTGCATGTTAACAATACGTGGATTCTTGTTCCTAGACCAACTAATTGTTCTATTGTTGACTGCAAATGGATTTTCAAAGTCAAAAATGAAAATGATAATGTTAGATTTAAAGCTAGGTTGGTAGCAAAAGGATTCACTCAAAAAGAAGGGATTGATTACACTGAAATTTTCTCACCTGTGGTTAAATATACTACTGTTAGGATAATGCTTGCCTTAGTTGCTCACTTTAATTGGGAACTAAAACAAATGGATGTTAAAACTGCTTTCCTACATGATGATCTAAGTGAGAAAATTTACATGAAACAACATGATGGCTTTGTAGATAAAGATAAGCATGAGCATGTATGTCTACTTAAGAAATCCTTGTATGGTTTGAAACAATCACCTAGACAGTGGAACATTAAATTCGATGAGTGCATGAGATCTTTAAAATTCATAAGAAGTAATTTTGACCATTGCTTGTATTTTATGAGATCAAATGATGTTCTTGTTTTCTTACTTATTTATGTGGATGACATGTTATTGATTAGTCCTTGTGTGAATACTATCAAGCATGTTAATGACTGTTTGAGCAATAAGTTTGACATGAAATATTTGGGTGATGCAAAGAATATTCTTGGTATGAACATTATTAGAGATAGGGTTGCTTTTACACTTTTGTTAAATCAATCTGCATATATTGAAAAAGTCTTGAAACGATTCTGTATGTCCAATGCAAAGTCAACTAATGTGCCTCTAGCTTCTCATTTTGTGCTAAGCAAAGATTAATGTCCTAAGTCTGAATCTGATATGAATTACATGAAAGATGTGCCATATTCGAATGTTATAGGCTCTGTGATGTACTTGATGATTTGCACTAGACCTGATATTGCATATTCTGTGAGTTGTTTGAGTCGTTTCATGTCTAATCCTGTAACTGAACATTGGAATGCAGTCAAGTGGTTATTTAGATATTTGTGTGGTTCTAGTAACCTAGGGCTAAAATTTGGAAAATGTGTTGAAGGAGTAATATTGAAAGGTTATGTGGACTCTAATTATGCGAACGATAGAGACAATAGAAAATCTACAACATCCTATGTGTTTACTTTGTGTGGCTCATGCATAAGTTGGAAATCACAACTCCAACATATTGTTGCTCTATCTACTACTGAATCAGAATATGTTGCGATAACTGATGCTCTAAAGGAAGCGTTGTGGCTAAAAGGTTTGCTTTCTGAAATTGAAATATTGCGTGACAATGTGACAGTCTATTCTGATAGTCAGTCTGGAATCCAATTATGCAAGAATCCTATTTTTCATGATAGAACCAAACACATAGATGTTAAGTTTCATTGTATAAAGGACATAGTTGCAAAAGGGTCAGTTAAGCTTGAAAAAATACCTTCTCAATTTAACCCTGATGATATGGGAACCAAATGTCTGCCTGTTTCCAAGCTTCAGTCATGTTTAAATATGTTAAATTTTGATACATTGGATTAGAACCGTGTCTGCTCTTCATTGATAGCATGTAATATTTCTCTGTGATTAATATATGCTCTACAGAATTGACTCCGTGTTAAGATTGCAGGAATAATGGCGATGATGATAGTATGTTCCCACTCTCGATTGCCCTCCAATGTAACCACGAGGGTCGACTAGAAACAAGGTAGAGATTGTTGGTGTGTTTCTGCGTCAACCCACACCCAAACCCAGATCCGACCCGACCTTGTCCGACCCGATCCAGAACCGACCATGTCCGACCCGATCCAGAACCGACCCGGTTTGTTTTTTTTATCTCCTTAAATCAAACCGATCTCTCCCCATTCTGTTCGATCGTTTGAATCGGTCTCTCATCCGTTCCGTCATTCACGGTGCTATCCCTATTTCTTCGAGATTGATTGAGTCCGCCATAGGTGTTGATAAGGTAAGGTTGTTCCCGACTCTTTTGGGTTCTATCCATCCGCCTCCTCTGTATATATATGGGTTTGGGATTTTGGGAGAGTAGAGTCACGAGTTCGCTATTCAGTTCTATGTTAAGTGAGCGATGAACCTACTGCCTTAGCCTATCGACTTCTCTCGTTATTTTTCGTCCTGATACTGCGTGTGCGAGGAACACTATAGGGTTCTTAGGTTACTTCGTGTTAGGAACTACCGCAATCGACACCTTTGTGGGTTACCTCGTAGGACGACTTGGAGTTGGCGAAGGAGTGACTGCGATCTGAGCCTACACTACCGATTGATCTATCTCTCTTTTCAATTCTTAACATATATTTCTGTTTTACATTCTTAATCATCGTTTTTATCCGCGCTAATTATTTGGTTGAGAATCTGTGCAGATCACCCAACGTTCAGAAAGAAAGATCGAGAATCCCAACATTTTTATTACAGTATTCATAATTAATAAAACTATAACTAACCAAATTTATAAAAATAAAAAATTTGATATAAATTTTATGATATTGTATAAAGTATAGAATATTTCTTTCTTTCTTTTTCAATTAAATTATTTATTTTAGTTTAAAAAATACGTATATACTATATATTTATATATTCAAATAAACATATATGAATTTCGAATAATTTGTACAAATTTATTTGATTAAATTTTAAATTTTTACAACTAAAAAACAACAACTATTTTAAATATGAACAAATTGTTAAATATAAAGGTGTATTTTGAATCTCATAACAATTTTTTTTTATTATTTCTTAAATTTATTTTTATTTTATTTTTTAGATTTTTTTTTAATTATGAATTATGAGTTGAGTTTAATTTTTTGAATAAGATTAATTTTGAATTTATTTTTTTAATTAAAATTTTATCTTGATTATATAATAATTCTTTATATTCGCCTAATTTTTCTATTTTATTTATGATTTATATTTATTTGATATATATTTAAAGAAAATATGATATATATTTTTATAGTAATAATGGTAGTAAATAAATATTAATAATTAAATAAATTTTTTTTCTACACAAATTAAATAGAATAAATTTAACAAAAAAATAAAAAAAATTATTAAAAAATTAAAATATAAAATATAAAAAAGCCGTGCATCGCACGGGTTTCCCACTAGTATTTTGGTAAAATAAATTGGATTGATATTATCACTTGTACCGGTGATTACCAAAGCAAAGTTGGTTTGATTGTGATTTGAAATTAATTTTAAATTAAGTGGTGAATTGATATAGTTTTTTTCACTTCACATCACCTGCAACTTATATAGCAACCTTGATTAATAGTGTTCTAAAGGAGTCAAACAATTTCATTCGATTCGAAATTTCAATACTTGTATTTGGATTTTTGTGATTTGAATTCAATTACAAATACGAAATTGTAATATTCGATTCGATTCTTTTACAACCCTAGCCTCGAATGTACACATTGCCATTTGCCAAATATGTTTATCTCATTCTACATATAAAAGTGCTTAAAAATGTTTTAGTTAACAAACAAATAATGAATGAAGCTGAAGAACTACTGTCCATCATCGCCATCTCCGATCAAGTTACAGATATCAGAGCACTCCGACAAGCTGCACAAAGATTACTACTTGTTAACATTTCCATGAAAAACAGCATTCGAAGTTTCAGAAGTACTGAAATGTCTAACTGCTCGATACAAAAGTCTCTGACAAATTTTTTTCTATGGAAGGGCGTAGAAGTTACCAATACTTGCGACTGCGAAAGGTGTCCTTGAAAACCACTAGAGGTCTGCAAGGGAATGAATTAAAATGAGCAACACTCAAATCTTCGATGAAATTAAGGTATTAGAACACTAAATTCATGAGCAAGAATGGAAGTGTTAATTTGAGTAGCCTTTCAGTTAGAACTTTCTTGATTGCTTAAAACAGATCATAATAATGCAGCAATGAAGACGATAATAGCAAGCATTGAATACGAAGATCTTTAATTTATAATCACCGAATGCATTAGCAAGAAAGATTGAAGTAGCCCTTCAAATGGAACTTTCTTATTGCTTACAATGATGGTGGCGTCCGAATATCTTCAAATACAAAGATCTTTAATTACCAAATGCATTAGCAAGAAAGATTTAAGTAGCCCTTCAAATAGAACTTTCTTATTGCTTAACATCGATCATACCAATACAATGATGATGGCGCCAAATATCTTTGAATACAAAGATCTTTATTTCATAATTACCAAATGCATTAGCAAGAAAGATTAAGTAGCCCTTCAAATGGAACTTTCTTATTGCTTAACATCGATCGTACCAATACAATGATGATGGCGCCGAATATCTTTGAATACGAAGATCTTTATTTCATAATTTATCAAATGCATTAACAAGAATGGGAGAATTTGAGTAGCCCTTGAAGTAAAACTTTCTTAATTGCTTGACACCAATTGTACCCATCCAAATAGACGAAAAACAACAATGATGATGATGATAAGACAATGAACATCTTATAATACAAAGTTCTTCAACACATCTTTAATTACATATTATATAGTCTTTCAATACGCACGAGCAAGCGAAATTATACTATACAAATTATTTAAACGATCATTTCACCTAAAAATTGAGCATAATACTTTATTCTTCCAATAACCTTATTACCAAATTTAACTTTCCAAGTATGCCACTATCACAAAGGATCATTTCAGATTGTAACAATCATAGGATAGCAAAGCATCTGTACAATCAAAACAAGAACATACATATATATATATATATATAAATGGATCGATTGAGAATGTAAGAGAAACAAGAATAAAAAAATATGATAGATAGCAAGCATTAAGCAAACCTCCTAATATTGAAAGGGCCCTCGCCGGGAGAGCCAAAGCCGCCCTGAATACAAGTGCCGACGCACTTACTAGTGCAAGCCTCCGCCTTCCTCGACTTAGGCCTCTGTATTCTGTAGCTTTTCCGGCAGCCTTTGTCCCCAGGTGGGCAGACACTCGACAGCGTCTGCGGTATGTTGGACAGCGTCTCGTCCGGCACCTCGGCTGCGGCGGCGGACAGCAGCAATGCGGCGGCGGCGGCGGCGGAGACGACTGCAGCAGCGAGTGAATGGGAATGGGCGGCGGGCAGGGAAATATGGGGTAATTTCGGCAGTGGTGTGCTCTGCTTTTCTTTGGGACATATCATCGAACAGTTGGCGGACGTTGAGACATACAGAAGCATCTTTCGTTTTTGCGAACGACGTTTGTTTTTGGGTTGGGCTCACAGTTTTTCTATCCAGAATCTTTTTGCTTCCTTCATTTTCAGCCCCGCATTTCTTTGTTAATATTGCAATATTAATTAAGGGAATTGTTACACGGGGATAAATATATTCATTACGGTGAAATTACATATTACCAATATTATGTTTCTTATAATTAAATTTGATATTTGATTTTGACTGACACACATTAATTAATATGATACTGCATTTTAAATAGCAATAATATATTCTCACATCATTAGAAATTGAATATTTAAGACAACCTCTCTATCTGCATTAATTTTTATCTCCTTGTAATAGAAAAAATGCAACAATTAACTCCTCCACATTCCATTGAAACAAATATTTTCCTTTATCATTATATCTTCATATATTAATAAAATACTGCTCTATCTATATTCTAAAATACTTTATCATATTTTTCTTTTCAGTTCATGTAATATTTTTAAAATAAAAATAATTATCTGTATCATCCAAATAAAAAATATATATATACATACACTTGTTATACTTCATATCATTTAATACTGAAATTATTTTATTTAATACTATCCACCTAAATTCTGTATGTGAAATCACATATTGCATATTGCATGGACCAAGGAGTACTATTTAAATATTTTTCACTCATCAATTACAAAATATATTCCTTATTTATTATTAAATTTCCTCACTATAACTATATATACAAACTTTCTAGATAAACTGTTGTGATTGTGCATTCCTTAACTTCTTCAATTATGCCTTGGAATATATATATATGTCTTGTTAGTCTTACCTTTGATTCTTTTCTACTTCTAAGTTTCTTTTAGTTTTTGAGTGGAGGTCAAACCTGTTCGACTGTGATGCTCAACAACCTCCAGCTGCACCATTCCTCCTCCTTCTTCCAGGTGATGTTGTTGATTCTTGCTCGACTTTCTACTGCGAAGCCCACTCGCAAATTCCACATCATTACACTTAGACTTAGACGACTTATCTTCCACGTATAGTATTAGTCCAATGCCTAATCCACCTCTTCTTGCAAATTCTGCATTATCCACCCCTACTGTCAGTTCACCATCATTCCTGATAAATCTTGTATCTTCACTGCTCCTTTCAATGGGGGCAGACTCATCTTCCGCCTCTACTGTTAGTCGATCACTCCGATCACTCATGATAACTGGTGTATCGTCACTACCCTTTTCAATGGGGGCATTCAGGGTAGATTAATATTCCACCTCTACTATTAGTCTACCATTTAAAATGTTGCATCTTCACTGCTCTTTTTAATAGGAGCACTCAAGGTAGACTCATCTTCCATGTGTACTTTTAGGCCAGTATCTACTCCACCAGTCCGGCAAAATTCTGCATCATTAGTATTTTCAACAGAGGCTTTCTTCAGGGTAGACTTATCTTCCTCGTATACTTTTACGCCCGTGTCTCCACCTAGCTTGGATGTGCCAAACGGTGGCAGCAGTAGCCTTGGCAGTAGGATTACAGTCATACCTCTGCACAAAAAAGGCCAAATAAGAATTTGAAACAGAAAGAGTTGTTACTTGAAGGTTGGTCTCATATTTTGGTTTTGGGTTTAAGTTGAAATATGGTATTATTATAGAAAATCGAGAGAACTGTATAGTAAATAAACTGAAACAAAATTCCAAGAAAAGAGAGACTAAAAGCATCTAGAAACCAGACCTAGCAGCAGCACCCTCCGACAAAAACTTTGTGCTCAGTTGCAGGGTATAATCAAACAAGGTCTGAGTTTACCCCTGTAAAAAGACAGCCAGCTTTCAGTATTACCTGTATTAATTGAGTAATGTAGTAATTTTTATTTCCTTTAGTTCATCAACTATTGCTTGCTTCTCAGTTCGAAGCTCTAACAAAGTCTTGTAGTCCTTCTTGTCACCTGTAATTAGACATTCATATACATAAATTGTAATGATACAAGTACTTTTACATCAAAGGTTGTATTTGAAATCATTCATGCATAACGACCACATGTATTATTACAAGATGATCAATTAATCAAATTGTAGTAACACCAATAAGGCAGTGGATAGAAAGTGGGAAAATTCAATGAAGCATGCAAGAGAACTTAAACAGTCACATATCAGATATATTCAGCACACAACCAGAGAAAAACTGAAAGAAGAGAATATAGCAACTATAAAATGCAATTTGTTTAGTATTAACCCCTACACACCAACACAAATCATTATCTTGTATAAACATATTTAAATTAAATAATTGTTCAATCACACATACAATCAAATTCGTATGTATATTCACAACCTAAAACTATATACCATAAAATCTAACCGTTACTGATATCTTATTACTATTTACAACATTCAAATTAACAATCAAACCACTGTGATAATGAATAAATAACAAACAAATAAAGAAAGAGTAAACTAATAAATAGAATAACAAATGAACATACATATATATATATATATAAGCAGAGTTTAACAATAAACAAAAGCCATATTTATGAGGTTCTTCAAAGAGCTTATTGTTGCTGATTCATTATTGGAAATGTCTCATATATAATAAAAGGTAGACATCATTATAATTCAAATGAATACTGTCAATTCTTATCAAATTGGAACAGCTACAGTAAGCTAATAAGCTAATATTAAGAATATTGACTCTGATGATACAACTTAACTTTGCGTACAATATTGCTCACACGCGAAGTATTCTTTAATAGATGGCACTAGATGTTTACTAACAAGCAACAATAAGTTCACTTGAAACTTGAATGGTTACAATTCAAGTTAAATAAATTTTTAAAAAATATAAAAAAATAAATATATTCAAATAATTAAATGTTACATAATAAATAAAGTAAGAATAAAAAAATGTTTTAACAATATTTATAAAAAAATGCCATTGACGTTAAATCATAAGGAACGAATGAGAACAAAGCCTCATTCAAATTCAAAGCTACGTGAGCGCTCAAATACTTCCGCATCCTTGTGAAATTTCTTATTGTTGTATAAAAGGAAAAACTTAACACTGGCACAAAAAACACAGGGAAGAAATACAATACTCTGGTTTTCAAGTTTAATTCTAAAGATCTTGTGCTCAATACATCATAACCCACAACAATTACCTGAAAGAAAAAGATAAAATAAAAACCACTATTTTTCAATCAAAATGCTTGAGAGGCTTAAGTACACTAGTAAAGGAACAATAGAAAATAATTATAAGAACTATTGTCATATCTATCTTCAAAGGCCCCCGTGAAATTACGGAAAAAGAAACTATAAAGTACCTCTATACATTAAAACTAATAAATAAGGAAAAAATCATTAAATGTATATTGTATATCAAAGATGAAAAACTGGCATGGTCAATTTTCCAACTATTGAGTGGTGGTGGTGGTGGTGATTGTGCATACTTTTTCATGAGGCAAAACTAAATAATGGCATGCATGGCACCAATGATCATCCAAATTACTTAGTCATTATAAATCTTTAAAATTATGGGAAGAACTAGGTCAATAGTGAATCTTTGAGTCAAGATGACCAATACTAAAGTTCAGCAAAGACAAGCAAATCAATAATATGACATGCAAAATGATGTGAACGGAGAATTTAGCCAAAAACCAACATAAACATGGGCTCGAAAGAAAAGTAGAATCTTGTTAATCAACAAATAAATGCCAGTAATGTAACATCAAAAATAAATAAATAGATAATAACAACAACAACAACAACATGCCAGCCTTTATAGACGGGTAATAAGCTTAATATAAATAACATGCATTTAAATTGTTAAAATCCACATAAAAAGATAAGTGCACCTCCAAAAGAAGAGAGAATATAATTAGGTGCGTAGTCATTCTCCGCCAACTATGAGAGCGCCTTGTAATTTTGGCAAGAACAATAGCCTCTTCCTTGGATATACGTTTCAGTCATTTTTGAAAATCATCTCCACGTACTCCAAACATAGCATTCCATAATCTTGACGGAATTCCTTTATGTTTCTTTTTTGTCTTAATCTCATTGTCTGAAGGTTTGGAAGATTCGAAAACTTTATTCTTAGATTTTTCAGCCATGCACATAACATGCCAAGTTAACACTATATGCACAAAAATAGCAAGTTTGGTCTCAATATTTTCAGGCATTTTCAATAAAACCTTCTCAAGGGTATCCAAGACAAACTTGGGAAATCATATTTTAGTTTTATTATTATATCATAAGCTGGGATATTCTTGAAGGAGAACTTTGACCAATCAGTCAAATGAAGCATGTCTTTGAAAAATAGAGAGGTATTTACTTGTTATAATTTCCAAGCACAAAGTTGTTCAAGGGCATATGCACCAACAATGTTTAGATGTAAATTATATAGATGACAATGTGTCTAGGTAGGCTTTGGTGTAAAGGGAAGCGATTTCAAACTCTTAAAAGAAAAGCTGTATGGTTAGAGTTTGAAGACTTCCCAGAAGGCAACATTCATGTGCCTTGGTGCTAACAAATATATTAAAAAGCTCTTACAGATATAGATAAAATAGAAAAAAATAAAAGTAAAAGTAGGATTTTCAATTCTATTCATATCATCACCTCAATAGCAAGATGACACATTATTGTCTAACTAGCTTCCAATTCCAATTCGTAACATAGAAATCCTCACACTTTTTCAGTAAAGGAAATAATTATACAATATGTAATAATTTAACGCTATAAAACAAAATAAGTAGTAACTAATAATATAAAGGGAAGTATGCATTTTTAGTCCCATAATAGGTTAGTCAATGTAAAATTGGTCCATTACATTTTTTTGTTCAAAATTGGTCTCATTTCAAACCTATCCATGTAAATTTAATCATTTTGTTACATTTTTTACGGACTATATTGTTGTGGTTATTATGGGAGCCTATATGGCATCAAAGCACGTCCATATACAAGGCCGTAAATATTAAGAACATGACCGTGTATTTTAGAAACACAATTTTGTTCCAAAAACATACAAATATATTACTTAATACACTGTTGTGCTTCTGAGATCCACAGTGGTGTATCTCATGAACACAGCTAGAAAACACACCCATGTTA